AGTCCCAGCTACTCGGGAGGCTGAGGCAGGAGAATGGCGTGAACCCGGGAGGCGGAGCTTGCAGTGAGCTGAGATCCGGCCACTGCACTCCAGCCTGGGCGACAGAGCGAGACTCCGTCTCAAAAAAAAAAAAAAAAAAAAAAAAAAGGAAAACCTGCACATTTTGCACATGTACCCTAGAACTTAAAGTATAATAAAAAAAAAACCAACAAGATCATCCGGTTTCTCTGTTAAGATGAGGCTGTAAGGAGCAGGTGTAGACTCAGGGAGAAGAGGTAGGAATTCTTGCAGCTTTCCAAGCAGATGCCCATGGCATGGGCAGGTTCAGGAGTGGCGAGGGGATGAGCTCCTGGATATCACATGACAGCAAGGCCTGAAGATTTGCCAATAGATTGTCCCTGGAGTGTGAGAGAAGGAGGGGAGGTGAGGATGAGTCCAAGCTTGTTGACCTGAGCAACTAGAGGGATGAAGCTACCATTATGAAAATGAGAAGACTGTGGGAGGAGCTGGTTTGGGGAAGATATCAGGAGTTGGATTTTGGACATGTTAACTTTGAGATGCCTAATAGACATCCACGAGGAGGGCAGTTTGATGTTTGGTTACACAGCCCGCACGCAGGTCAGGGGAAAAGTTCAGACCTGATGTAAGAGTCTTCAGCATAGAGATGATACTTAAAGCTGAGACATTCAATGAGATCACCAAGGTATGACTATTGATAGAGAAGAGGTCCAAGCAGTAAGCTCTGAGGCACTCCAATGCTGAGAGGTCATGGTGGTGAGGAAGAGTCATGGAAGAATACTACAAAGGAATAGGAAGTAAGCCAGGAGTCAAACTAGGGAGCCGAGGAAAGAACATACCATGGAAACAGGGAGTAATCAACTGTGTCAGATGGTGTTGATGGGGGAAGTAAGATGAGGACATAGAATTATTTCATTTAGCAATATGAAGGTCATTATTGAGTTTGATAAAGAAATTTTGATGTAGTGCTCCACATCCAGATTATAAAACCAATATTGTAGCTTGTTAACTTGTTTACATTTCTTTCTATCACACTGATGATTTCTTAGACACAGGGAATATGATGTCTCACTCATTTCTGTGTCCTGGCATGCTCAATGAATATTTGTGGAATGAATGTGTAAATACACAAAAGGGAGTATTTTAGATACTGGCCTAGGATGCCCATGTGGGGCTGCAATCACCCCAGGACTACTGAGTCAGAAAGAGACCTCTACTAAGGATTGTACTTGAATCACCTGGGGACATAGGTGACCATTTGTCCTATTCTTAATAACACTATCATTCCAGAAGTCTCATTTTTTGCATATCGTCATCATCATCACCATCATCATGATCATCATCATCATCATCCAATAACCACATTCTGGCAATTCTTCCCTCATGGTTCATTTTAGAGTAATTCTTCTGCCTTTACTTACCAACTTCTCATACACCCCAACATTATAAACTCTCTAATACAATTTGCTATTGCTCAAGACTAATTGTTTTCATGCTCAAACTTTCAAAGACCTATATATTATACTTATTATTCTTTTTGTGGCTTTAAAGGGTGCCTATCATTTAATCATTGAACTGGAGATATTTATTGAGTGAGGTGTGTGCCATCTAGATGTTACTCTTTGGAGATACATGGTGACCAAGTTAGATACAGTGACTGCCCTCAGGGAGCTTGCAGTCTAATGGGTTTATGTGGCAGAGACATTAAACAACTACAGTAAAGTGATAAATGGCATGAGAGGGCAATTGGCCTCTTCATCCATGTTTTCCAGGGTTCTGTCCTAGGTCCTCCTTTCCTCACTCTCTATGTGCTCAGAGGTGATTTCTTTCACTCTCTGGGATTCAATTAATGACTCTCAAGTAGAGATCTCCAGCTCAAATCTTTCTAAACACATCCAAACAATGTCTCTTGGGCCTCTTTTCTTAGGAGTCTCAAAATCACTCTCACAGACAATGTGTCAAAAACAGAAGCAATCATTCCCTGTCCTCCAACACACACCCACACCCAGGCTTTTCTGTGTTCTGAGCCACCATCACCTGCAGCATCACCAGGCCAGCTGCCCAGCTCATCACCAGAGCTCTAGCCTGGGCTTCCTGGTCGATCTCACCCTATTGTTAGCAGCCTGTCTTTTGTTCTATTACTTGTTTCTCCTAAGCATCTCTCAAATCCCACAGTTCCCTTTTTTCCTGCTAAAATTATCGTTAAATTGCAAATGTTAAATTTTATTGGACCTTTATTATGTATCAGGCCCTGTAATAAGTTATTTGTATGTGTTTCCTCATACAACCCTCAGAACAATACTATTGGGTAAGCTCCGGTGAGTGCTAGCATTATTCCCACTTTTACACATAAGGAGGCTGAGGTACAGAAAAGTTAAGTACTTTGGAGAGGGTCTCACAGCTGGTAGGTGAAAGGGCTTTGCCTTATGAACCTGCGCCATTACCACAGAGCCCTTAGTTCAGGCAGCTGTCATCTCTCATCTGGATTTCCTTAATGGCCTCCAGCCATGCCCTTTTCTAAGCTTCACTTCACACCAGAGTAAAATTATATTCCTACTTAAAGTTCTTTAGCTGCTCCCCTCTACCCTTAGGGTAAATCCCAAAGCCCATATGCAGCTGTTGACATTGTTCCCCACTATCTGACCTCTGGTTACTTTTTAGGGCCTTCCCATTTCCTCCCTCCCCCACCCACCACACAGCCCTAAAGCACTTTATTTTTAAAAAAGTATTATTTATTCCAAAGGAAACATTTCATTATATGAAAAATAATTTTTCTTGTTTAATATTCATCTCCCTCTAATCTCTTCCCCAAATACACTTCCCCCCACTTACGCTATTAAGAATTTTTTATTTTTAATTTTTTCCCCAAAGTTTTAAATCTGTTTTATTTTGAACTAATTTAGACCTACTAAAAAAGTTATAAAAATACTACAGTTCCTTTACCTTTTTCAACTGGCTTCCCCTAATGGGAACATCTTGTAAAACCATAGTACAATAATTACAAACAAGACATTAACACTGGTATAATATTATTAAAGACCTTATTGTAATTTGACCCTTTTTTCACTAATAACCTTCATTATTTTTAGAAAAAGATAAAAATAGGACTGTATTGCAGTCACTTGCTTTTTTTTTTTTTTTTTTTTTGAGACGGAGTCTCACTGTCGCCCAGGCTGGAGTGCAGGGGCACAATCTCAGCTCACTGCCTCCTGGGTTCAAGCAATTCTCCTGCTCAGCCTCCCTAGTAGCTGGGATTACAGGCACCTGCCACCATGCCGGGCTAATTTTTGTATTTTTAGTAGAGATGGGGTTTCGCCATGTTGGCCAGGCTGGTCCAGGTGATCCACCCACCTCAGCCTCTCAAAGTGCTGGGATTACAGGCCTTAGCCACCTGACTTGCTTTTTTATTGCTACATAATAATTGTACATATTCATGGGATACATGTGGTATTTTGGTATAAACATACAACATATAATGATCAAATCAGGGTAATTGAGATGTCCATCACTTCAAACATTAATCATTTCTTTATGTTGAGAACATTCCAAATCTTCTCTTCTAGCTATTTAAAAATATACAATAAACTGCTGATGAACTATAGTCCCCCTACTGTGCTATCAAACATTAGGCTTTCTTTCTTCTAACTGTATTTTTGTACCCATTAACCAACCTCTTTTCATTACTCCCCACTACCCATCCAGCCTTTGGTAAACATTATTCTCTACCTCCATGAGATCGACTTTTTTTTTTTTTAGTTCTCACATATGGGTGAGAATATGGAATATTTGTCTTTCTGTAACTGGCTTTTTTCACTTAACGTATTGTTTTCTAGGCTCGTCCATGTTGCTGAAAATGACAGGATATTATTCTTTTTATGGCCAAACAGTATTCCATTGTACATATACCATATTTTCTTTTTCTGTTCATCCATTGATAGACATTTAGATCGATTCTATATCTTGGCTATTGTGAATAGTGCTGCAGTAAGCATGGAAGTGCAGATAGCTCTTTGATATACTAATTTCCTTTCTTTTGGTGTATATCCAGCAGTGGGATTCTGGGTCATATGGTAGTTCTATTTTTAGTTTTTTGAGGACCCTCCATACTGTTTTCCATGGTGACTGTGCTAATTTACGTTCCCATCAACAGTGTGCAAAGGTTCCCTTTTCTCCATAACCTTGCCAACACTTGATATCCTTTATCTTTTTGATAACAGTCATCCTAACAGGTGTGAGGTGATATCTCATTGTGGTTTTAATTTTCATTTCCCTGATAATTAGTGATGCTGAGCATTTTCTCATATACCTGTTGACCATTCGTGTGTCTTCTTTTGAGAAATGTCTATTCAGGTCCTTACTCATTTTATAATCGAGTTATTTATTTTCTTGCTGTTGACGTATTTGAGTTTCTTGTATATTTTGGGTATTAACCCCTTATCAAATATACGATTTACAGATATATTCTCCCAATATATAGGTCATTGCTTCACTCTATTACCTGTTTTCTTTGCTGTTCGGAAGCTTTATAGTTTCATGTAATCCTGTTGTCTGTTTTCACTTTTGTTGCCTGTGCTTTTGGGGTCATATCCAAAAAATTATTGCCCAGAAAAAGGTCATGTTGTTTTCCTCCTATGTTTTCTTCTTGTATAGTTTCAGGTCTTGGTCTTAAATTCCAGTCATTAATCCACCTTTTTTTATTGGTTTGTTTTTTGTGGGTTTTTTTTTTTTTTTTGAGACGGAGTCTCGCTCTGTTGCCCAGGCTAGAGTGCAGTGGTGCGATCTCGGCTCACTGCAACCTTCGCCTCCCAGGTTCAAGTGATTCCCCTGCCTCAGCCTCCCAAGTAGCTGGGATTACAGGCACGTGCCACCACTCCCAGCTAATTTTTTTGTAGTAGAGATGAGATTTCACCATGTTAGCCAGGCTGATCTCGATCTCCTGACCTCGTGATCCACCTGCCTTGGTGTCCCAAAATGCTGGGATTACAGGCGTGAGCCACTGCACCAAGGCCATTAATCCATCTTCAGTTGATTTTTGTATGTGGTGTGAAATGAGGGCCCATTTTCATTCTTGTGCATGTGGATATCCAGTTTTTCCAACTCCATATATTGAGATTCTCCCCATTGTGTGTTCTTGGTGCCTTTGTTGAAAATCAATTGACTGCAAATGCTTGGGTTTATTTCTGGCTGAAGCACTTTCTTTGGTTCAGCTCTGAGTCATCTCCGTTTTCCTCTGTTTAGGAAGTCTTCTTTTCACTGTGACTGACCCTCCTCCTTCACTTATCCCACATTTTCTGGAAATATAATATTTTATCAGTTAAGTTTCAGTTCAGAAGTTTTTTTCTAGGAAGCCTCCCTGATTCCCCAAGTCTGGATGAGATGATGTGAGAGGCAGAGTACTGGCTCCCCGAAATGTCCATGTCATTAATGCCCCGTACCTGTGAATATGTGACCTTGTGTGGCCACAGGACTTTGCAGATGTGATTAAGTGAAGAATACTGAGATGGGGAAATACTCTTAGATGATGCAGATGAGCAGTGTGATCACAAGGATCCCAATAAGAAGGAGTCAAGAGAGTCAGAATCAGAGGCAATGTGACTGGATGCTCCAGAAGCTGGAAAAGGCAAGAAAACATATTCTTGCATAGAGTGTCCACAGGAGCACGGCTCCGCACACTCCTTGATTTAGCCTGGTAAAACTCATTTCGGACTTCTAAACTCCAGAACTATAAAATAATCCATTTGTGTTGTTTTAAGCCACTCAATTTGTAGCAGTCTGTTGCAGTAGTAACGGGAAACTCATACGGATGGATTTCCCTGTGCTTCCATACCTTCCACACTCTATGTCTTCACACTGCAGATTCTATTTCAATAGCTCTATTACTTGCTGTCTCCTAAGTAGCCCATAAGATCTGTAAGAGAATGCACTGAGTCAATCTTATGCAACTGATATTCTCAAGGACAAACATTGCTGTTGGAACGTAGCTGGTGCAAAATTAATATATTTTTGGATGAATGCTTGTCAAATGTGTGGAAATGATATAATGGGTTTTCCAGGTTTCTCAGGGAATAACTGTGAGAAGAAGGTAAGTGTGGTGTTTCTTTGTAGGCTTATCTCAATCTTAAGTATATATACTATATAGAAGGAGCAAAAATTACTGCTTTTTCTCCATGGGATCATTCTTAGCTTAGTTTGCTTGGCTTTGCATGTCTGGAAATTGACCCTTTAATAAAGTGCTTTCTTGTGTTTGCAGTCCTGCAGGCACAAGATTCCTTGTTATGAAGAGCTTAAAATAACCTTTCTCAATTACTAGCCTCTCCTGCCTGAAACTTCAGGTTAGTGATGTCAAACAACTTACGATCGGCAGGTGACATACTATCATTTGAGAGAGCTCTTAAAACTAGATATTCTCAAGCTAAGGCCTGGACCTCTAGTATCAGAATCTCCAGGAGAGGGATCTGGTTCTGCAGGTGATTCTGATGCACATCCAAATTTGGGAACCTCTGAGACTCAACCCTACAGGAAGTGAAGTGCAGCTGTCACTTTGGCCACTAGATGGCAGGCTTTACTCTCCACCCTGTGGTTCCAGCACAGAAAACTTGTTACACCATCCCACCCACCCCACCCCAAGGGAAATTTAGCATGCTTTGGGCCAAGTGCTAGAACAGATATTTTCGTACGCTTTATCTCACTGAGCTTCGCAAACACATTGAAAGTTAGACATCATTATCCCCAATTTACAGATGAAGAAACTGAGGCCTGTGGGACAACACAGAAAGATCATATCCTTTCCATTTAACCATGCTGCCTTAATCTGGTTGGCTTAGACAATTAACTGTCTTGCCTGTAGGAGGAGTTCAGTGAATATTTGTTTAACACATTAACGATAAACTTAAACCTAAGAGCAGCACCAGGTGATATCTCTAATTTTCTTCTAAGCAACTTTATTACAATAATTGATCTTTATTTCAGTTTTCATAAAAGCGCAAGGAGAAATAAACAAGAGTTAAATGCATTGCCTTTTAAATTTCTTGGATGGTCTTTGAAGATGAATATGCAGAAGTCTAGTGGTGGGCATGCTGAAAAGATAATCATATTCAGGATATCTGGTGTGGCCACCGATACAATGTGGTCTCATGAGACTAGAGGGAATGAGGCTCCCTGAGAGCTGTGGCTCTAAAATCGTGTTCCTCCAAGCCAGGATGCTGGTCGGCATGTGGTGTGTGTACCTCTCGTGTGTGGGGGAGGCCTGTGTGGTGTGTGGGTATGAAAGGATGGGGGCCAGGGAAAGATGAAAGAGAGAGAGGACATTAGACCTTTTAGTCCCTGTTTCAGTGAGAACATCCAAATGTTATCCTTTTATGTATTGGTACCCTATATGAGATTCTCTTTGGAAAAATGGTTTCTGTGGCCATTTTGGTTGACGTAGGTCAACCCCTGACTGATAAGCAATTGTATTATTTTGTGCAGAATTTTCATCTGCATTAGCAACATACATAGGCTCAACAAAATACTTTGAATATATTCTGAAGATGTTTTAGTTAAGGAAAAAATGTTTAAGGTTCGTAGGAAAAAATAAAGTAAGACACAAAAACAATTATCATGAAAGTCCAAAAACGGTATAAATAAGAAAGGTTCAGACAGAAGTATTTTTTAAATCTATTCTGTTTTATTTTTCCTGTTAAAAGCCAATACGATCTATTAACACAAGTGATGAAACTGAGAACGAGAAATCCCTCCTTTTTAGCAACTCTGTCTTGAATCAGGGACAGGATTATGTGACAGGTGAAGGTCTGTGAAATGCCCTGTATAATCCAGATCATTGCAAAGGGAAAGTGACTTGGTGGGCTTATATGTGGGTTGCTGAATATTCCCTCAACTGCCCTCCTGCCACCCTGCCCAGATTTTACGGGACCTTAGGAAGGAAGGAGACGTCATAAACAGCGGGATCAACTCAGTAAGCTTGTGTGATTAATACTATGTTTCACTTTTTCGGCTGCTTAGGATCAAAAAGGAAAAAAATAAGGTTATAAAAAATCAATATCAAGCCTAACATAGGATTGATAAATGGTTGGAAACACAAACATTGGTTGGAACAAATTAGAACCACATTTTCATCATCTGACTCCAATAACCAAAGGAAACACCCTTTCCTTCTTTGGGAGCTGTAGCTCTCTGGAGTTTTGGGAAGCCCAAAGGTGGAGACCATGTGGCCTCCAGGTGAGGCTGTAACTGGATCCTGCCAAGTCTCTGATGGCCCCTCTGACACCCTTTCCCCTTAAACTACATTCATCTTGTCTCTTCCCAGGACACTGTGTCTTTTAGGGGCAGAAGGGGATGGTAGCATTATCCTGGAGATTTTGGACATCAGACAAACCTCCCATGGTAACTTTTCAGTTGCTTCCTGGCTCTTAGGGTGAAAGGGGGCAAAAATCAAGACCCTTATATTTTGGAGCCATTTTAACAACTTCACCAGTTTTGTTGAAATAGATATTCTTACTTTTCAGCTCTCTTTTGTCCTCCAGTGTTTACATGCTAAGTGTACACGCTTGCATATTCTCACGTATTTCACAATATTCTTTAAAAAAGCTGTTTGGTTTCTTCTGACAGGAATTCAGACCTAGCTTCTGAGCTGTGGCACAGCAGAAGAAAGGCAGCCAACACAGGATCTGAAACAGCCCAAGGGGCCTTCCCTCATTAGCTCTTTTGATACCCAGTGAAGTCACTGTCTTTACAACATCTGATTCTCTTTTAACTTGTAGTACCGAACTCTGGAGGTAATGACATGCCATCGTAACTCTCTCTCTCTCCCCGCTATTTAAATGTGCATTCTGTGAAGGTGAGAAGCTTAAACAGTGCCTGGTATATAATAATTGCTCAACAAATATTTGTTGAAAATGGGAAGATGCTTATTTAGATAGTGAAGGGCTTGTGGGGGGTGGGCAGGATTGCTGCTCTGGGTCAGTCTGGGGAAGTTGAAGTATGGTTGGTGGGCAGGTAAGACGCGTGCAGGGTCTTGTCCAGGATGTAGTAGTCCCAGCACCACAGCACATGTAAATGCTTCTGAAATGTTTGATAGTGATGTTGAAACGGGAGAGTTCCCTTGACCCCTTCCGCAGGACTTGTGAAGGGGTTGACTCCTTTACTCGCGTGCAGCACTCAGTCCCTTATGGAAGGGAGCACATTAGCACATGGGTATGGGAACCCAAGCGAACGAACACTGGAACTGACCGGTCGCTTCTCTCTGGCAGGAGCAGATTCTGTGCGAGCCCGTGGCAGCGTCCAAGTGTGTTACAATGCTCTTTTAATTCTGCTGTCTGGGAGGGGATGTCTGCAACCCCCCGGAGCCCCAGAGGGCAGGTGTTGCAGTCAGTGCTCTTTTATCATTTGCTGTCCATGGACAGCTAAGTATTAACCAGCTCAGTGAAGGGTGAGTGGGACAGCCTTTTATACCCTGCCCTCTTGGTACCCTAGTTCTTGTCTGGTATCAAGAAAGAATCAGGTCACAATAAATAATGGAAGGGTGGTGAATGTGGAGGACTTAATTGAGTGGTGGAAGTGGCTCTCAGCAGAAGGGGGAGCTGGAAAGTGGGTGGAGTGGGAAGATAATCTTCCCCTGGAGTCCAGCAGTCCCTAGCTGAACTCCTCTCCGACCATCATCTCCAATGTCCAGCTGTTTCTTCTCCTCTCGATGTTCAGACACTTCTCTCTTCTGTGTGTATGACTGCTGAGTCTGGGGTCTGGGGTTCTTATGGGCACAGGATAGGGGGTGAGGTGGGCCAGAAGTCAACATTTGGCCAAGAAAACAGAGATGGTTCTCACTTTGGGCCATGGGTCTAGGCTTAAGGGTGGAGCCCTCGTCAGGAACTCTGCCGTCTTCTACCCAGTATTTCCCTGCCTCCTAGCCTTATCAATGTTGCCTCCTCGTCTTATCAATGTCATCTCTTCCTCAAGTTCCTAGTGTCACCCAGTACAAGTCAATGACTCAGTAGATTAATCAGCACCCTTTTCTCTCAAATTATCAAAAGCTATTCAGAGTTATTGAAGACACTCAATTTGTTGCAGTTAGGGATGCAGAAACTGAGATGAATAAAAAGTGTTATCAGATTTTAACTTAAGACCCTAATTGTTAGATCTTTATTTTCTTTAAGACTTTTGAAAAAGGAAATAAAAAAAAAATGTTAAGTACATATAGATGGCATGAAGAGGAGATGCAAAGGTCTTTGAGAATGAAGTGGGTTTTTTAAGTGTTAAAAAAATGATCGTTTTTAGTTTGAAGGCACTGAGTGCAAGGACAATTAAGCAAGTAAAAGTCTCACTTTTTGAACTCAGAAAGTGATAGTTCATTGACTTAATGGATTTTCAACTTAGCAAAATTGCCTTTTAAAAAATAACTAATGCTGTCTTTCTTCTGAGAAAAGCTTTTTTTTCCACCTCAGTTTTTTCATAAGCCCAAAAGTATTTTTGCATCTGGGCAGGCCTTTCTATGTGGATTTTGGTGTGAATGTAGATAGTTCTTAAGTTTCTTTCTATACCCAAATTGCTGCTCAGTATTTCTTTCATATAAATATCCTTTGAGTTGAACCACCAATGTTTACTTATAATATCTAATTTAGCTAAAGTAACTTCACAGACCCCTTAAAACTTGCTCTGTAAAAGTGGGAATACTGAAAATCACTAAGTCACCATGGGGCAAAGGGCATAGAATATGCTAGAAGTGACTCTTGCCTGGTTGTAATTTTGGTTGGCCCTGACTTGCATTGTATGTCAATTGCAAGTGTTTTTTACCTACCTAGGAGGGTTTCGATGGGGAAGATCCCTGCAAGCTACAGGAAGTTCTTTGGACCAATGGTTAACCAACTGCCCTGGCACCTTCCCGGCAATGTCGTATTCTTGCCAAGAGGTGGCGAG